GTTTCACGAAAAAAAAATCGGATTTACAGATTGCGGACTTCGGTTTAGCCCGAGAGTACGGTGACCCCCTTAGGCCATACACTGCTGTTGTCGTCACGCTGTGGTACAGGGCTCCGGAGCTGTTACTCGGCCAGAAGGTAATCAAACTTTTTTCCCTTTCAGAAGTATCCGTAAAAATCATTATTTTAGCTCTATTCCACTCCTATTGATTTATGGTCTGTTGGTTGTATCATGGGAGAGTTCGTATTACTAAAGCCCTTATTCCCAGGAAATGGCGAACTAGATGAAATTAACAAAATTTTCATGGTAGGTCATTTTGCGACCTGAGAGTATACCTTTTAAGTTTTTGTTATTAGGAACTTGGAACACCATCAGATTCTATATGGGAAGGATATAGTGAGCTGCCTGGCCCAAAACTTGTGAGTACTATAGAATGCCATGTTGATGTAACATAATTTTGGAGAGTTTCAGATGAAGTTAGCGAATCACCCATACAATCAATTACGGAAGAAGTTCCCTGCCTCACTGATGAATGAAAGTGGTTTCAAATTACTAAACAGGTAAGGACCTCATTGTTTCTCAACGGTAGTGCTCATTTCTCTATCCCAAATGCATGTCTTTCTTTAGGTTTTTGACTTATGATCCTGCTCGACGTATCACTGCTGACGAGGCTCTGGCTGATAGGTGGTTTAGGTATGTGTCTCTTGTCTTTATTTGGATACCAACGAATTTATACTTTTTATACTTTTTTAATTTTAGTTCTACTTATCTTGCTCTTGATTTATCTGGCTAGCGTGTGCTTTTGCGCAGCGCAGGAAATGATAGTTGACGAAGTCGTAAACTGTGCAATGTTGTAGCGAAGATCCGAAGCCAACGCCACCTGAGATGTTCCCAACCTTCCCGGCAAAAAGCGAGCAACATCGCGCTCCTCCTCCAAGTGCTGGTATGGCGAAGAAGAAAGCAGAGATCATAGTGAGTTTCAAAAAATTACCTTGCATAACTTAATCGAGTTATTTCTTTGAAGAATCCCGAGCGTGCAAAACTGCTTGCTGATCTCAAAGTGCGGCCGGATCAAGTGACATCCGGCTCCTTCTCTTTGAAGTTCGATAAAACCAGGTTTTGAATGTACAGTTGTAAATGTGGTCGTTGTTTCTGTCTGCATCGATTGCAGAAGGAACTGTATTGTGAATAGTTAGGCGTTGTAAATTTTGTTGTTACTGACTGATGTTTGTTTTT